TGTAATTTTGGATAAATTATGCTAATTTTAAATTTCATTTAATTTTCATTATTTTCATAAATTTTTCATAACCCACATATACAACACTGTTTGGTGTTAGTCATACTCTTTGGTTCTATTGGGTAAAGTCACGTAGGTAAAAAAAAAATAACAAAAATCACGACGTTTTGACCACAACACAAGTGGCCTTCATCAGGTGAAGGGACCAACCTGTCCGGAGGACAGCGTTGGAGTGAAAAAAGTCAAGCGCAGTTCGCCTCTAAGCTGTGAGTGGGTAAACAGAAAAGACGCCTTGACAAAGGAATTAGCATAAAATGTAAAGCTGTGCAAGCTCGCAAATAGAATCAAAGATACATTAGCACCACCGTGAGAGTTTGGGATGCCACTAATTGAATGAACATACTGTACCATTAAACAAGTCCAGCGCAGGTCGCCTCCTTTAAGCTGTGAGTGGGTAAACAGAAAAAAACGCCTTGACAAAGGAATTAGCATAAAAATGTAAAGCTGTGCAAGCTCTCAAATAGCATCAAAAATACATTAGCACCACCGTGAGAGTTTGGGATGCCACTAATTGAATGAATATACTGTACCATTAAAAATTCCTTTAACGTTTGGTTCGATTTAGAACATCTTTCCAATGGTTGCTTAATATGAAGCCATCTTCTCGGTTGAAATTGTGTCTGTGTTTGTAGATCTGGATTGCCTTGTGAGCAAATCTCTGATAAAAACCCGTGGGTTTGCAAAGAGCCTTGGTATCGGAGAAAATTATATCGTGATCACCCAAAGCGTTGTAACAATGATCAGCTACGGCAGAAGAATTCGTTTTGCCGTGTTTCAAATCTGATTTGTGCTCGCAAATTCGGTCAGAGACATGTTGCTTTGTCTCCCCGATATAGCAATCACCGCAGGTACAACTCAATTTGTAAACCCCGGGGTACTGTAAGTCAGGAATGACATCCTTCACGGATGGGATCAGATCACGAATTTTGTGTACTGTATTGAACCGGACCTGGATCTTGTGTTTGTTTAGAATTTTGGAAATCTTTTTAGTAACGCCTGCTATATATGGTAGTGTGATGGTTTTGACCGGAGTATCAAGTGGTTGTTTCTGTATGGAGGGAGAAACAGTTTGGCGGATGGTACGGTCAGAGTATCCATTCCTTTTGAGGGCCAGGTGTACATGTTTTAATTCACTGGTCAGGTGGTGTTGGTCCGAAATGCAATGAGCCCTATGGTATAAAGTTTTGATGAGAGAATTCTTTTGGGCTGGGTGGTGGTGGGAATCAGGTTTCAAGTAGGAATCTGTGTGGGTGGGTTTCCTGTAGACAGAATGCCCCAATGAGCCATCAGGTCTCCTCTCAAACAGAACATCTAAGAATGGTAGCTTGCCATCTTTCTCCACTTCCATGGTGAATTTGATGGCGGGATGTCTGGAATTGATGTGGCGTAGGAAAAGATTCAGAGCTGGGAGGCCATGTGGCCAAATGACGAAAGTGTCATCCACATATCTATTCCACAGGGAAGGTCTGAGGGTGGAAGTCTGGATGGCGTCTGATTCAAATTTCTCCATGAAAATATTGGCTATCACTGGTGACAAGGGGGATCCCATGGGGGTACCCTCATTTTGTTTGTAGAAGGAGCCATTCCAAGTAAAGTAGGTATTTTTGAGGCAGTGCCTAACCAGTGCAGGTGTGTCGGGGTCTAGTCCATGTTGGACCAAATTTTCAATTATTTCAATGGTATCAGGTACTGGGACCTTAGTGAACAAAGAGACCGTGATATGATCCCATCCGTGAAGGATGTCATTCCTGACTTACAGTACCCCGGGGTTTACAAATTGAGTTGTACCTGCGGTGATTGCTATATCGGGGAGACAAAGCGACATGTCTCTGACCGAATTCGCGAGCACAAATCAGATTTGAAACACGGCAAAACGAATTCTTCTGCCGTGGCTGATCATTGTTACAATGCTGTGGGTGATCACGATATAATTTTCTCCGATACCAAGGTTCTTTGCAAACCCACCGGTTTTTATTAGAGATTTGCTCACGAGGCAATCCAGATCTACAAACACAGACACAATTTCAACCGAGAAGATGGCTTCAAATTAAGCAACCATTGGAAAGATGTTCTAAATCGAACCAAACGTTAAAGGAATTTTTAATGGTACAGTATATTCATTCAATTAGTGGCATCCCAAACTCTCACGGTGGTGCTAATGTATTTTTGATGCTATTTGAGAGCTTGCACAGCTTTACATTTTTATGCTAATTGCTTTGTCAAGGCGTTTTTTCTGTTTACCCACTCACAGCTTAAAGGATGCGACCTGCGCTGGACTTGTTTAATGGTACAGTATGTTCATTCAATTAGTGGCATCCCAAACTCTCACGGTGGTGCTAATGTATCTTTGATTCTATTTGCGAGCTTGCACAGCTTTACATTTTATGCTAATTCCTTTGTCAAGACGTCTTTTCTGTTTACCCACTCACAGCTTAAAGGAGGCGACCTGCGCTTGACTTTTTTCACTCCAACGCTGTCCTCCGGACAGGTTGGTCCCTTCACCTGATGAAGGCCACTTGTGTTGTGGTCGAAACGTCGTGATTTTTGTTATTTTATTTTTTTACCTACGTGACTTTACCCAATAGAACCAAAGAGTATGGATCCTTGCAGTCACGAAAGCTTTAAATCTAGAATTGGTGTTAGTCAGCCTGTGATCTGCCTCAGCTCAGCATGGCACGTGCCAGCTCATGCCCACTGCTATCTTCTCCTGGCAGATTTCATGGCCATCTATTTATTTATTGTTTGCGAGCCAGCTGGTCAGGAAGGTTGGACGATTACCAAGGTTCATCTTCTTTGGTTCTTTCGGTAAAGTCACGTAGAATGAGAATAAAATAATAAATTGATAAAATAAAATAACACAATAATATTCTCACGACGTTTCGGCCACAACACAAGCGGCCTTCATCAGGTGAAGGGACGAGACTGTCTGGTAGGACAGCGCTGGAGTGAAAGAGCCACGTTCAGATCACGGCCTTTAAGCTGTGTGAGAGGAACAAAGCGCCCTCAACTTTAGCTATCCGTGGTGCTAAAGTTGAGGGCGCTTTGTTCCTCTCACACAGCTTAAAGGCCGTGATCTGAACGTGGCTCTTTCACTCCAGCGCTGTCCTACCAGACAGTCTCGTCCCTTCACCTGATGAAGGCCGCTTGTGTTGTGGCCGAAACGTCGTGAGAATATTATTGTGTTATTTTATTTTATCAATTTATTATTTTATTCTCATTCTACGTGACTTTACCGAAAGAACCAAAGAAGATGAATCATTGCAGTCACGAAAGCTTTAAATCGAAAGATTACCAAGGTTGGCGATGTGTTGGATTATTACATCCGCGAGTCGTGAGAGATGGCGACGACTTGGGGGGAGGCCTTCATCCCGCAGTGTATGGACCACGGCTGATAATAATGATATTGATTTTGTTTTCACTTAACAATTCTATAGGATTTGCGTAATTTACTCCGAAGTCTTTGCAGTATTTTGGTATTTCATTTGAGTTATGTAAAGTTAAACTTCCATTACTAGCGGTGGTAGTGGTCTTTCTCAGACCACTTCATGATATACTAATCCTGCTCCATGTCCACTCGGTATTGCTGTGGTGGATGCGTGTTGATTTAATTACAATCCTTCCACCGTGCTTACGTGTGTGTTTATTTAACTTTATTTAAACATCCCGAGTAGTTGTGGTAGCAACGGCGTTCTGTGATTCACAATTAAAGGTTTTTGGGTTAGATCACGTAAGTATAAATGTGTCATAACCCTCCTCCATCCAACACAGCCAGTAAGCTTGATTTGGAGCTTTCGTGACTGAAGGAATTACTTTTTGGTTCTTTCGGTAAAGTCACGTAGAAACAAAATAAATTAAATAATAGAATACGACGTTTCGATTGCAACACAAGCAATCATCATCAGGTACGAATGAATGAGAAAAAACAAACCTGGTCAACTTAGAAATATAATGCAATACAACGTAATCAACCCTACCTGGTTGATTACACTCTTCCAAAGATTGCTAAATTTGAGAGACAAAACACGGACACGGAGACACATATACAGACACGTCAGCAGAGAGAGACACACACATAGGCACACAGAGAAACATGGCCTCTGTGTCGAGGACTTAAATAGAGAGAGCGGGGGGCAGAGAGAGAGGGGGGGTAGATAAATTAGCACGTCAATGAGAGCTTTGGAGCTTTCGTGACTGCAGGAAATACTAAAGAGAACATGGAGACACAGAGAAAATAAACTGAATAAAAAAACTTAGTAAAATTTGGGAAAGTAATGCAATGCAATGCAACACAGAGAGTCGGTCAACACACAATTAACGCATAGCCTGGTTGATTACGTTCTTCCAAAGATTGCTAAATTAGAAGTTAAGTGTAAAATTTGAGAAAGAGACAAGACACAAACACGGAGACACAAAGACAGACACAAGCAGAGAGAGACAACACATTTACAATTTGAGTACGAGGTTTTGCTGGTAATTGCATTCAGCATCATCGGGCGATTTCACAAATCGTACTCGAATTGTAAATGTTGTAGATTTACTCTCCAATACACGGGTGGGCTGAAGTAGTCATTAATTGGCGCATTTTGTTTAAGTGACAAACCTGACTGGCTGTGTAGGGAGGTAGAGGGTTACTAAACATTTATACGTATGCGAACTAACACAAAAACCTTTATTATGAATAATATTGCTTGCAAAAGCCTACGTGTTAAACTGGCGTTCTGTTAGTCTGCTGAAACAGCGTGTGCACTGAGGGTGAATCTTGCGTGAGGATTGCATCAGGGACACCCTAGGCCACTGCATTTGCATGTTTTCCAATTACTTCAACGATAACCTGATGGGAATTAATTGTTGAATGCTTAATTCCGACCTGCAACGGTTGTGCGTAATCTGATTGGGTTGAGTGCCATTTTACTGCAGGACTTTAACAGAGGCGAAGGCGTTCAAGGTGCTGAAGTTAATACGCCGAGCAATAAAAAGCCGAGCAATAAAACGTGCGGGGCGGGCATGCGGTTCGCACAGTTAAATTGTGTGGCACGACCAGGAAGTGGGGGTGGGGGGGGCGTTGATTTCCCCACCCAGAATGCGAAATCAACAAAATCAGATCCGATCCGAACGTTAATCACTGTCGCGGGTTTCACATTTCCATAACTTGTAAACAATTAACACATTCCTGTGGAGGGAGCTGGTAGGAACGTTGGGTTGCTCGGTCAATGGCCAGGGTCAACGGCGGCGTGGTGTATTCCGCAAATATGCCCGACTGTGAGGGCGGGCACAAGCCGGCGTGAGTAGGTTAAACGTTGAGTTTTATAAGGGCACCACGGGGTGACCAGCCCCTCCCCACCCAGCCCCACCCCTCCCACCACCCAGCCCCACCCTCCCCTCCCCACCCAGCCCCTCCCCACCCAGCCCCTCCCTACCCTCCCCTCTCCACCCAGCTCCACCCTACCCTCCCCTCTCCACCCAGCCCCACCCCTCCCACGTGGACAGACATCCACAGACATACACAATTAATCCCCTGCCTCCTGTGAGAATTAATCCCGGTTGGGCTTCCAGTCCATATAAGGGCATCACGGGGTGACCAGCCCCTCCCCACCCAGCCCCACCCCACCCAGCCCCACCCCTCCCACCCCCCACCCAGCCCCACCCTTCCCACCCAGCCCCTCCCCACCCTCCCCACCCAGCCCCTCCCTACCATCCCTTCTCCACCCAGCCGCACCCCTCCCACGTGGACAGACATCCACAGACATACACAATTAATCCCCTGCCTCCTGTGAATTAATCCCGGTTGGGCTTCCAGTGCACTACGTTTCCTACCAGTAAAATCACGCTGTACACATCTGCCATCCACACGCACCCATTCTCAAGCGCTGTCCAGGCTCGGCGCTGCTGATATCTGGTGACATCCCGCACCAAAGACAAAGATCCCCTGTGTAGCCTTAATAGACTGTTGGAACAAGTGCTGTTCACAAGAAGCGCCTATGAAGGCCAGCACGGCACACCGAGGGGGTGGGTGGCCAGCACCATGCCCGGCCGCCTTTGTCTCCCCAGCGGCGACATTTAAACATCGTACCAGGTTATAATTTGAGGCTGAGTTGACCTAGGGGAGCCGCTGTACGGGTTCAGATAATCGTCACTGGTGTTGACCTTGAGCGAGAATCGAACTTGGGTCGCCAGGTTCATAGCGCAGTGCACTAACCACTGCACCACCACTCTGCACCACACACACGCGCATCCTACATCACACACACATCCTGCACTACACACATCCTGCACCACACAAGCATCCTGCACTACACACATCCTGCACCACACACATCCTGCACCACACAAGCATCCTGCACTACACACATCCTGCACCACACAAGCATCCTGCACTACACACATCCTGCACCACACACATCCTGCACCACACAAGCATCCTGCACTACACACATCCTGCACCACACAAGCATCCTGCACCACACACACACATCCTGCACCACACACACACATCCTGCACCACACACACACATCCTGCACCACACACACACCCTGCACCACCACACACACCACAGCTGTCTGCGCACCCACGCCCGTCGTGTGAATTCTCCCGCAGGCGGCGCCAACGGTGGAGTCCCTCGTGAGTCGGTCGACCAGCATGGAGAGCGCCGAGGGGTAGAAGTCCGTGTCTCCGTCCAAGGCCAGCACGTAGGTGTTGCGCTTCTTCCTCTGTGGCGGTGAACGGGAAGTAGTGGCATGGAGACAGATCAGCAACAGCGGTGGCATTACAGCCGTGACCTCGTACAGAGCAAGCAAAGCAACCCGCTCACTTAGCTCCTCAACCCCAACGCTCCTTCTCCAACCTCTAACAACCAAACACACAACGTATGCATGCTGTATGCAAGGAGGATGTGTCCCCCAATATTCAAATATGCTCAAAATGTCCCCCCCAATGTATTGCTATAAAATAAATTTCTGTTTATATGATTGTAGTTATGGTTGTACTTTATTAATCCCTGATCTCTGCCATTACATACAATGAAACAAGAAAAGGTAAATAAGAAAAAACAGAGCATTGGAATACAATACACTATTAGACATTATTGTAAAAAAAAGTCCTATGTGTTAGTGAATATTTTTTATATATTTTAGGCAGGAAATGGCAGGAAACCAGTATTCAAATTAAGATTTTTTTTTTCTGGGGGAGACCCCCTGGAAGACTTAGTCCCCCCCAATGTTGACTCCATGGCTACGGCCTTAGCTGTATGTATATTGTATGTATGTATAACTTCTTTCGCATCGTATGTAGCCAACCATGTTCGTCAGGAAAGGATACAAACTAAACACAAACTGCATTTCACAGAAATGAGTGTTCAAATAGATTATTTAAAAGTGCATAGCTCCAGTGGATTCCTAATAACAACCACGCGGGTGGAGAGATCGTTTCTATCTGCAGCGCTACAACCTCTGGAAACAACCTCCCTGAAGCGGTGCACACACTCGACTCCATCGTCACTTCATTAAGTGACAACTCAACAGCAACAACGCGGCTCTTTTCGCTTGCGTACACCAACAACTAACTCCGGTCATCCTCGCAGCAGCGGCTTTGGGCGAGCCATCGAACAAAGATGGGCACTGCATCTCGCGCTTTCAGATGCGCTTCTACGGTTGTCTGGAACGCTCTTCCTTCCGATATTAGGAAGCAACTGGAGGTTTGCACTTTTAAATAATCAATTAGATTGGAAACTACATTCTCTAGAACTGCTTTTTGTGTTTGGTTTGTTGTCCTGCCCCCACACCTCCGATTAGCACGGTTGGCTACGTACGGTGTGAAAGAAGTTAAACATAAATACAACTAAATTTCAGCCGCAAACCTATTTTACACTTCTATTTTAAACAACTGTAATAAGTGTATATATTTTTTTCTTTTTGTATAGAAAGTTATATTGCTATTGTAGTGACCTATATTGGGTCACTACGGCGTTTAGCGCCAGCTACTGACAGAATAGGGGAACTGTGCGTGTTAGAGCCTCTCTCTGGCACCAGAGTATGTTTGGCATGGAAGGGCGCCCTACGGGGCATGCTTCTGGTGACTATCAGAGAGAGGGCAGTTGAGGACGTGACAGTCTAGGTGAACCCGAGAGGGCACGTGACCAGAACAGGATAATGAGGGGGGCCAAAAGGTGGCGAGAGGGACACGTGATATTAGGCCCAGAACCTTCTGGTAATATCCAGAAGGGTGCGTGGCCGAGGGCGGAGCCAGGCCACGCTCAGGGGCATAAAAGGGAGGTCCCGAGAGCCGATCCAGGCTGTCTGTTGGAATGGAACGCGTCGGTGCTACGCCTCTTCGATCCTCGGTCGTCGGTCTTTACGCTCGGCATCGTGGGTCAGGCAGTGTGTTACTTACTGACCCGGTTATGTAGTTACCCCGTTGTGGTCTAGTTACCCGTTGTCGTCTAGTTAACCTGCTGTATGTTTATGTAGTTACCCTGTTGGGGTGTAAGAATAAACGTGTTGCCTCCGAGTTCAAGTGTGTGCCTCCGTGGAACCCACTACACTATTTTGAGTATCAACGTGATGATGGCGCGTTGAGTGACAGATTGTGCCAGAAAGGCAACCAAAGATTAACTTCTAAATGTGCCGACTCTGCGTGCAGAGACACGCATAGTGCACGCTATGACTGGGCCTCGACCCAGAGGGAAAGGGCCTGAGAGAGAGAGAGACCCTCTAACAAACGAAACAATTTAAATTTACTAGGCAAGACCCACTGAGCAATTAGCTCTTTTCAGAAGCGACCTGGCTATCACAAATAATAGCTCAACAAAGTGGATTATCACTTGGATATTTATAGCAGCCAAATACACGAAATGCGTGATGTTGATTCTAAATGTGGAGGGAAAAACCGGAGGACCCAGAGATATATCCATGCGGCCAAGGGGAGAGAGACACGTAAACTTAAAATATGCAGGCATCAGGGTCGGGATCGAACGCAGTGCCTCCTGCATACCAAGCGAGGTAGTTAAAATCTCGCCATGGCGGCACCCTAGCAGGGTGTATTTGGCCTACACTTCCACACTGCTCCCACGTCTTGGGAGAAGTATAATTGGGTAGGCCCTGCACGTTCCCTGGATGGGCAGCTTGCGTGCGGTTCGCGTGCGGTGGGGTAGAGTGCGAATACTCACACTCTACCCCACCGCATGTAGAACTGCCCATCCACGGAATGTGCAGGGCCTACCCATTTATACTGCTAAGTTGAAAGTGGCCTCCCCTATGTCGGCTTAGCCTTAAATGAGTAAACATTAGCACTGGCGAGAAAAAGGCGGATGGGCGTGGTGTTGGACACACGACCCGCTCGCATGCCATCCCACCCTTAACAAGTGCTCGCTAACAGCACTTGCCTCAACAGTCTGTTAATGGATATATGAGGCGTCGTTGTCTTTGCAGTTTACAAAATCCTTACCTCTACCCATTCCTCTTGTTCATCTTTCTTAACTGTGTGGATCTTGTGGTAGATCTTCCAGCCAAGGAGGTAGTACAAGTACATCACCTGTACAGAACACGTCAAGGGGTTTAATAACAACAATCACCATCAGCAGCAGCAGCCGTGATTGATCCACTACTGGATTAAGACCTACCCAAGTCGTCGCGATGTTTCATGAGATCCTGAGTCGTTATCCACCCAGAACCTCTATTACCGACTGATTCCATCGCTCCATCTCCCCAGTGGTCACCTCTCCGCAATGAGTTCCATTCTTTGGCTGCCGCTCCGTTATTATTCTCGACCCAATGGCCATGACAGCGCGTGCTGCTCAAGTGTAACTCAACAGCGCTACCAACCTTCCCCCCCCCCCCCCCCAGTCGTGGATAGAAGGCAATAGAACAACACGCAAATGAGCATCGGCGTGAGATTGCTGTGATACATCGATAACAACCCTGGTGCAGTCATCATCATCATAGCACTCAACGGGTAACACCACGGAACACCAAATCAATCGAGTCGGGGAACACTCGGTCACGGACAACACTGCTGTGTGCAACTCGTTTACAGCACTTGCCCCAAAAAGCCTGCTGAGCCTATACGGGGTATCTTCGTCTCTATGGTGTGCACTGATTCGCACGTGAAACGAATAATTAAGCATCACGTGATTTAATTTCAATATGAGAGCATGACTCTCGAGGTAGCATACAGATGGCTTCAATAGATGTGAGCTATTGCCATCTGCTTCTTACGGCTGATGCTGATGTCGACTCGTAGAGCGAGCTGTAAATTTACATCGAGGTGGTTGACGATCCAGATGATTGCGTCAGGAGTAGCGGAGTGGCGAATCATCGCTGCTGTGATGATGCCTCTCCCTTCATTCGTGTTGTGAATCGGGTGTTGAGTCGTTGTGTGTTCAGTCGCTCTGTTCCAGGTGGTGACCACTGTCGATATTAGGAATGCACCGAAGCTGTGCACTTTTAACTCTAGATTGGATACTAATTTATTTAGAACTGCTTTTTGTGTTTATTTATTTTTATCTTTCTCTGTACCACCAATTAGCATGGTTGGTGAGGTACAGTGCAATAGAAGTTCAACATACATACGTATCGTCGCCGGACACTGACCGGAGATATTTACTTTTCCAATTGTGCATAATCGTCATCGTCATGTATAAGCACATCAGCTGTTGCTGTTGCTACTATGCTCTAAGTGTGGATGCGGTTGTAGGGTTTGTGGCCCAATGAGATTTGGGGCAGAAGATCTGAAGCCCAGGGATGCAACAAATACCTGGGACCAGCGCTTGCGGTGGCGGATCATCTCCTTGTCTTTGAGGTGCACGCACAGCGAGTTGCCGTGCGGGAGTTTGTAGAAGAGTCGCGCTCCGTACGGCGTCTGAGTCCTCTCCATTGAGGGCGCCTCTTGTGGAATCTTCGAGTTTTTCTCAAAATACCTTCACATCAGCAGCAGCAGCACAAGCGAAAGAGAAGACGTGCCCCAATTACTATGTTCCATTGCTGCTACTGCTGTCATATCTGGGATGAAGTCCCCAGTTGCCACCTCACTGCTGCACTCGAATATTTTTTTATAATTTTGATTATTTTGCTGCTATAAATTTCCACATGATAAGCCACTTCGTTACGCTATCATTTGCGGCCAGTGCGCTTCTAAAAAAAGATTATACCTCAGTGGGTCTTACCTGGTAAAAAAAAAGAATAGTTTCGTTTTATTTGTGATCTGCTAACTTGTCCTATACTTTGCACTCCTATCGTGTTGTTTGTTGAGGTAACGGTCTGACCCGCCCCTGCTGGACATCTGTGAGATAGAGCTTTTAGCTCATCGAATTCCTCCTGCAGTATAAATACATATTCTGATTCGGAATTGAGTAAAGCAGCAGCAGTCGTGGGTGACTGATGATCCAGCACTCAAAGATTATTTCCCAGTCGTTTGCTCGCTCTCTGCCAGTCAGTCGCCTCCGTATCTCACTTCTATCGCTACTACTTCTACAACCATTGTTACTGTTCACACGAACTTCGCTGCTCGATTGCTCCACCCACGGCGAGGGCCTCGGTCGCCCAGACTGAGTCGTCTCGTTGCCCAAATTCTTACCAACGCACGAACAAAAGACAAAGATCCCCCCGTATAGCCTTCAACAGAGTGTTGGAGCAAGGGCTGTTAGCCAGTAGCACCCATGAAGGCCGGCCCGGCACACAAGGGGGTGGGTGACCAGCACCACACCCGCCTGCTTTTATCTCCCCAGTGCTGCACCGTTTGTGTAAATTATGTTAAGCGCCTAGTCCGCTCTACAGCAAGGTTGGCTATGTATGGTGCAAAAAATAGTTCAACAGATGAGGTTTCTGCTCAATTCAACACGCGCGTGAACGTCCATCTATCACACCGCCCACCATAGTGTCTCTGTTTGCCGGCCAATTGTCAGTTTGTGCACCTTCGGATTTGCACTCAACAACGGTGATGGTGACGCAAGGAAGGCATTGCTAGCCCTGCGATCCGCACTCACGACGTTCATCTGCGTGACCATCACCAATCATCGTCATCGTTCACCATGATCTATTCACTTCTGAACGAAGGCATCGGCGCAACCTGTTGCCATCCTTCCCGTGGTCTCTCGCACCACGAGCTGAGCTTAACCACCCCGTGTCGTCCCGTGCTTTGTTATTACAAGGCCCGTGCCTCTATCCATCCATCCCTCCCTCCCTCCACCCACCCACCCAGCTCATCGCTACCACAGAATAACATCCGGTGCACTGACCGGCACACTTCAGCGATGACGTCCGTGAGGCTGGTCACGAACTGGTTGACCACCATGCGATCTCCCTTCCTCTCGAAGGCGTCGTCGAAGTAGATGTGAGCCGAGAAGTCGTACGGTTCCCGCTTCACCGTCTTCCCCTCCTCCTCCTCATGATTATTCTCCTTCTCCCACTTCTTTTCCTCCTTTTCCTCCTTCTGCTTCTTTTCCTCATTCTCTTTCGTCTTCTTCTCTTCTTTATTTTTCTCCTTCTCCTCCTCCTTCTTCCCATCCTGCCCCTCCTTCCCCTCTTCTTCCTCCTTCTTATTCTCCTTCTTCTCCATCTCCTCCTTTTTCTCATTCTTCTTCTTCCCTCCGCCGCGGGAACCGACGTTGAGATCCTTTGGCTCACTCCTGTCCAGCCTGGCAGCGGCAAGGGAGAAGGGTCGTTATTGTTATCCCGCCACACGCTCCCCATCGAGTCAAGGTCATGGTACAGCATCGCTCTCCTCTGCAATCGAGCGCTCTCCCAAGGTCTCCCGCCGAAACGTTTCCTACACCTTTCTCATCCCACTGATCACAGCAAACTTCCACCGCATCCTACTGAGTTCAACTCACAACGACCTCTACCCATCGCCGGCACCGGCTTCTGGATGAGTGCGTTTCTCTGTAGCTGTACCAGTCAGCAGCCGTCTGGAGCTCTCTCTGTATCTCCCACTGGTGCACACGCAGCAGCAACCAAGAAGCAGACTCTAACCCATCCAGGCTCTCATCTGTCCAGGATCTCACCTGGTTGAGGCTCTCACCTGCCCAGGCTCTCACCTGTCGACGCTCTCAATATTAGCATGCATCATAAAAAAATTTGTTGCGGGAGCCCAGACGTGTTAACTCAAGAGAAGTTTACAGCTTGCACAATTCACAAACATCGTTCAATGGTCACATACAAAGAACGGTCCGCGTTAAACACGATCAGCTGATTAGTTGCGACGTTCGAAGGAGGGCAAATGTTCTCGAGGTTAGTAACGCGCTGCTCCATGTGAAGATGTCATATTTACGAGCATCCAAAGAAAATTGAAAATACACCGCCCACAAATACTGCACTGCGTGTAAGCGGTTAAATGTCCAAGGTCGAAATATGACGGTCGTATATGCGACATGGTAATATGGCATTGCTGTAGATTGTCCAAATAAGAGCCACAGTAATGTGGTTCTATTTTGTTTAACATGTTTTCACCGGCATATGCATTGCTGCATATATCACGATATATTTCGATTTAAAGCTTTCGTGACTGCAATGATTCATCTTCTTTGGTTCTTTCGGTAAAGTCACGTAGAATGATAATAGAATAATAAATTGATAAAATAAAATAACACAATAATATTCTCACGACGTTTCGGCCACAACACAAGCGGCCTTCATCAGGTGAAGGGGGCGAGACTGTCTGGTAGGACAGCGCTGGAGTGAAAGAGCCACGTTCAGATACGGCCTTTAAGCTGTGTGAGAGGAACAAAGCGCCTTGACAAAGGAATTAGCATATAATTTAGCATTGAAATGGCTGAATGATTAGCTTGTGACTGGTCACAGAAATAGCTATGTTAAAAGTTAAAGCATACACACCCGCAGAGGCACCCATTGTTAAAGGGATTAGCATAGAATTTAGCATTGAAATAGCTAAGTTAAGGCATACACATCTTGACAATGGAATTAGCATAGAATTTAGCATTGAGATAGCTGAGTGATTAGCTTGTACCTGCTGCAGAAATAGCTTGTAACTGCTGCAGAAATAGCTACGTTAAAGTCAGAGCATACACATTCACCGAGGCCCTTAGTACAAATCAAACAGGAGAATTTAGCGTTGAAATAACTAGGCGAATCCAGCATTGAAACAACTGAGTGATTAGCTAGTGACTGGTCACAGAAATGACTACACATCTGAGCTATTCACAGTACTATATAGTGAACCAATAAAAACTAAAATATAAATTACCTTCATGTTATCAATAAACTCTATATTCTCCAATCAGCTACGATGACCTTCAGACCGCAGCTCTTTCGCCAGCATTGCCTCTTAATACCTCTCACACCACGGTTAATGGTATAGTTTTACAATATGGAGCATACTAGGGCCTCGCAGCTGTCTCTCTCCCCCTCCTCTGTTCCGACCATGGACGAACTCGTCCGTCTGAACGGGGCCCGTAGCTATCCGTGGTGCTGAAATTTGAGGGTAAGAATCCACCCATTTTTTCGCCATATAGCATTGTGATATATAACGACTTATTGTTGGTAGCTTAGCTGATTGGAGAATATAGAGTTTATTGATAACATGAAGGTAATTTATATTTTAGTTTTTATTGGTTCACTATATAGTACTGTGAATAGCTCAGATGTGTAGTCATTTCTGTGACCAGTCACTAGCTAATCACTCAGTTGTTTCAATGCTGGATTCGCCTAGTTATTTCAATGCTAAATTCTCCTGTTTGATTTGTACTAAGGGCCTCGGTGAATGTGTATGCTCTGACTTTAACGTAGCTATTTCTGCAGCAGGTACAAGCTCTATTTCTGCAGCAGGTACAAGCTAATCACTCAGCTATCTCAATGCTAAATTCTATGCTAATTCCATTGTCAAGATGTGTATGCCTTAACTTAGCTATTTCAATGCTAAATTCTATGCTAATCCCTTTAACAATGGGTGCCTCTGCGGGTGTGTATGCTTTAACTTTTAACATAGCTATTTCTGTGACCAGTCACAAGCTAATCATTCAGCCATTTCAATGCTAAATTATATGATAATTCCTTTGTCAAGGCGCTTTGTTCCTCTCACACAGCTTAAAGGCCGTATCTGAACGTGGCTCTTTCACTCCAGCGCTGTCCTACCAGACAGTCTCGCCCCCTTCACCTGATGAAGGCCGCTTGTGTTGTGGCCGAAACGTCGTGAGAATATTATTGTGTTATTTTATTTTATCAATTTATTATTTTATTATAATTCTACGTGACTTTACCGAAAGAACCAAAGAACACGATATATTTTTTTCAGGACACTTTAAACGTGCAGTTTAGATTAATATCCTCAAATCTCGTTGAGCTGAAGGGAGGGGCGCGGTAGCGTGGTAGCCTGACTGGTGTGGTGCCCTGCAGAAATGAATGTACGTATGTGTGGTGGACTTATTTCACACCATACATACCCAACCAAGATAATCGAATGTGCAGGAGAAGGACAACAATCTAAACACAAAAATAAATTCTGAAGAAATTAGTTGTCAATATTATTTAAAAGTGCATAGCTCCAGTTGTTTCCTAATATCGGAAGGAAGAGTGTTCCAGACGGCCGCAGAAGGGCATTTGAAAGTGCGCGGTGCCGTGACCACACCCCATCTGCATATTCGCGAGGGACCCCCACTGGCCCTTGGGATCCGGCCGCTTGATGGAATTGGGCGATAGGGAATACACCACCTCAGGATGGACGAGATGATCTTCGTCATCTCCTCCTTGGTCTCGTGCCACATGGTTGCGCACAAGTAGATCTTCACCCTCTCTTGCTTGTGGTTGCTAGAGGATACAACGAGAAGATGAAATGTTCAGATTGAGAGAGGGAATCGCAGAGCGCGGTTCTCTGTTTTATGCATTGGGCATATTGTGGGATGGACATATTTCAGTCTGTAGAACAGAAGGGCAAACGTCACAAATCGTCATCATTATGAAATAAATTCAGAAAGAAAAAAATCCTGCTTTGATTACAATGCTCATACTTAACCTCTGACACTCAAAACACGAAACATAGACAAAGGCATCGATCAGACTAACACAAACTAAAAACAAAGATCGCCCATAGAGCCTTGAGAGACTGTTGGGGCAAGGGCTGTTAGCGACTAGCACCGATGAAGCGGGAAACGGGACTTGAGGGAGTTTATGGCCAGTCACACAGACACACACCTAGTCACACAGACACACACCTTGTCACACAGACACCTAATCACACTTACACCTCGTCACATAAATACAGCAAACAAAAAGAGTTCCCCTGTGTAGCCTGAACAAACTGTTGGGGGACGTGCTGATAGCGAGCACCTATGAAGGCCGGCACTGCACACAAGCGGGTGGGTGGCCAACACCACGCCCGGCCGCCTCCCCAGTGGTGATGTTTACACACCACACCAGTTACTAATTTGAGCAAGGGGAGGCCATGACCTATTCACACACACCTACTCACAGAGACACCTAGTCACACACACACACCTACTCACAGAGACACCTAGTCACACACACCTACTCACAGAGACACCTAGTCACACACACACACACACCTACTCACAGAGACACCTAGTCACACACACACACACCTACTCACAGAGACACCTAGTCACACACACACACACCTACTCACAGAGACACCTAGTCACACACACACACACCTACTCACAGAGACACCTAGTCACACACACACACACCTACTCACAGAGACACCTAGTCACACACACACACACCTACTCACAGAGACACCTAGTCACACTCACAGAGACACCTAGTCACACACACACACACCTACTCACAGAGACACCTAGTCACACACACACACCTACTCACAGAGACACCTATTCACACACACACACCTAGTCACAGAGACACCTAGTCACACACACCTAGCACCTAGTCACAAATTACTCATAGTCACACACGCAAGTCCAATACACCGCACCAACACCAACAGACGGACCTCCTCTCCTCCAGCACCACCACCTCCTCCTCCTGCTGCTGCCGCCGGTTGAGCAGCAGCCCCGCGACGAGACACGCAGGCTGCGGGGTGCGGCGCACGAAGAGCTCGCGTGTGGGCTCCATGCGCCTCGCGTCATCTGGGCGCAACGCCGGCGCCGCCGCCAGCAGCAGCGCCGCCAACCACAGAGCCCCGGCGCCGAACGTGGCCACGGCGTCCACCGCGGAGTCCTCGCCGGCGCCTACGAACGAGCAGACGGCGGCGGCCGTGCGGTCGTAGAAGAGTGAGGCGGTTGCGGGCGTCGTCCGCTCGGAGCCGTTCCACCGTCGGACCGACTCGCAGTCGTAGCGAGAGTCGCCCGAGGCGTCGAGCGCGAGGTGGAGGGCGAAGACGACCGCCAGGGCGGCGGGCGTGGCGAGGCAGAGCGGCGCGGCGAAGCAGCTCCCCTGCTGGCGGATCTTGCAGGCGGCGTTCGCGAGCCACTTGCAGAGGATGGAGGCGCCCGCCTGCACGCCCAGCAGAGCCAGGGCGAGCGCCATGCTCTCGCGGTGTTCCGCGATGCCGCCGATGGCGCTGAAGCTCCTCCACTCGCCCTCGACGCCCGCGTCCAGCAGCACGACCGCCACGATGATGAGCGTGCGCACGAGCGAGCCGTAGAACTCGGCGAGGTTCCGCGATTCGCCGATGGCGTCGCGGAATTCCCGGAGCCAACCGGCGGGCAGGAAGTTCTCCCACCACGACAGGGACACGAGCAGCAGGCTCAGCAGCAGCAGCGCCAGGTGCGCGAACCTTCTTGCCTCCGTGGAGCCATCGTCGGGCGCCACCAACGCCGCCTTGGCGACCGACAGTGCTAAGGCGACGAGACAGCAGCAGAGGGAGGCCAGACTCAGGAGCTTGGACGTCCGGGGCGGCTTCCTGCGTCCCGTCCACCTGCCGGCGAACTGCAGCGAGCTCGGCACCAGGGTGACACCGTTGAGGAGGAGGATGCTGCTGAGAAGGTTCGCCGACTCCGCCGGGAGGACGACGATGGCCATGAGCGCCGCTCCGAGGCCGATGAAGCCTTCCAGCAGGCAATTCTGGGTGACGGCCAAACAAACTCAAGGACATTGAGACTTAAAGAGATTGAGGATTGTTGGAATGGTGAAACACACGCCAAACAAACGCCGGGGCTATCGTGGTTCTTTTTTTAAAGGCCTAATTGTCGTCTTTGTACAAAACAGGTGACAACTGCGCTGGCCAACGTTGGTGAGGCTTGGGAAAAAATCAACCCCCACTGATGGACATGGCCCAACGTGGATTAACGACAACAACAAGACCTCCTTAAAAGGAATGCATACATCAAGGCCCCGCAGAGTTTGTTATTAAGGTTGTTATTGTTTCTAGCTTTGAAGCTTTCGTGACTGCAAGGATCCATACTCTTCGGTTCTATTTGGTAAAGTCACGTAGGTAAAAAATAAAAACAAAAATCACGACGTTTCGGCCACAACACAAGTGGCCTTCATCAGGTGAAGGGGACCGTACTGTCACGAGGACAGCGTTGGAGTGAAGACAGTCCAGCCCAGGTCGCGTCCTTTTAAGCTGTGTGGGAGGACACAAAACGCTTTGGGAAAGGAATTAGCATAAAATTACCGTAAAGTGCAATAGGACCGGCAAGGAGGGGGGGAGAGGGGGAGGGGAGTGTGAAGGGGAATGACCGTAACGTAGAGGACCGGCACGGGGGAGGGGGGTTTACAAATGTGGTGTGAAGTGAAATAAGCTGCAATGAAAGTTCTGTATATCACTACTTGAACCATCTTCTCGGTTAATATTGTTTCTGTGTTTGTAAATCTGAACTGCCTCGTGGATAAATCTCTGATGAAAACCCGTGGCTTTACAAAGGACATTGGTATCGGAGAAAATGCTATCGTGATCACCCACAGCGTTGTAACAGTGGTCAGCTACGGCAGAAGAATTCGTTCTGCCGTGTTTCAAATCTAATGTGTGCTCGCGATTTCGGTCAGAGACACGTCGTTTCGTCTCCCCGATATAGCAATCACCACAAGTGCAGCTCAATTTGTAAACCCCGGGGTACTAAATCATACCAAACATTAAACTAATTTCAATGGTAGTATATTTATCCAAGTAGTGATATACAGAACTTTCATTGCAGCTTATTTCACTTCAAACCACATTTGTAAACTCCCCTCCCCCTCCCCCCTCCGTGCCGGTCCTCTACGTTACGGTCATTCCCCTTCACACTCCCCTCCCCCTCTCCCCCCTCCTTGCCGGTCCTCTTGCACTTTACGGTCAATTTATGCTTATTCCTTCGTCAAAGCGTTTTGTGTCCTCCCACACAGCTTTAAAGGACGCGACCTGGGCTGGACTGTCTTCATTCCAACGCTGTCTTCGTGACAGTACGGTCCCCTTCACCTGATGAAGGCCACTTGTGTTGTGGTCGAAACGTCGTGATTTTTGTTGTTTTATTTTTTACCTACGTGACTTTACCGAATAGATCCAAAGAGTATGCTGTTGTTGTTAATTGGCCTTGGGCACCACTGCCAACGCAGCTGCAGCATCCCCAACATACTCTTTCCACATTTTGTATGTCCAGCAATGGATTGTCAAATGACTCCGTGAATGATATTCATTGTTTCATTTTTATTAGTGACATAGACGCGATGTTGCTGCTGCGAGGTAATGGTCAGCACAGTCGACGTGCAATTCCTTAGGCCGCCGGGTCTATCTCCCAGTGCGGCAGCTGAAATAAACGGGCGAGTTTGTGACCTCTCCTCGCTCTGCCCACCCAGAACCAAGGGAGGGCGGGGCGGGGGGGTCTAGCAGAATCATTTACATTTATACTTGAGGAATGCGATGAGCTATACAACTCTTTTTCTTAGATGTCCATTCGAGGTGGGTCAGATCGTTACAACAACAAACAATACAAAAAACACGTAAGTGTAAAGTATGGGAAAGATAAGCAAATCACTTATAAACAGGATTTACAAAAAAACTTTACTTTAGCAGGTAAAGTCCACTGAGCTATTAGCTTCTTTTTCAGAAGCCATAAACGATAGCTCAACGAAGTGGCTTATCACGTGGACATTTATAGCAGCCAAATACTCCACCCAGGGAGAATATGCACACTCCAAATATACAGGCATCAGAGTCCGGATCGAAATCACGACCTGTATACTAGGATAGGAATATAACATCTCGCCATTGTGGTGACCCATTCGCTTCCTCTTCCCTCCCCTCGCCCCTCAACTCCGTCTCTTTCTTCTTTTTATAGCTCTTCCGTTACCCCTAAGTATGCCTCTATCACTCTCACTCATTCCTCAATCCTTGTAACATGCCCGTGTACACTAGATCATTCCATTCTGTAATTGTTATGCAAGCTACATCATAGAGTGCATGGGGAGAAGGCGCTCTATAGAAATATAACTTAGATTAGACATGGGCTTGCAGCGTGGACAAGTAGGGCAGCACGCGTTGACAGAGCAACTTCAAGACTGCACCTTTGCCTTGTCCTCTGTCCGTCTTTGTCTCTCTGAATCTTACCAGAGCGATCATCATCCGATTGGAGACATCGGAGTTCTTGAAGGCGAGCCGGAGGCCGCAGTGGATGGAGCTGAAGATGTTGGGGAGGACGAGAACGAAGGCGAGGACCCAGGAATAGAACTGGTTCTGGTCGAGCTCGCCGGCCTGCCTGGCGACCCTCTTCATCTCGGCCAAGTACACCAGGCTCAGTTGCATTCCACCACATTGCACACGCGAGACAGAAAAAAGCGTCACGATACTCTGCGCATCCTATCTACATAGGGAATCCTCGTTGAGCGTGCGGCATTCACTCTCCGCGTCTTCTGCTTTCACGCAATTTATATTTTATGGAAGGTTTTTCGTTAAACGCGCACTGCGCCTGCTATAACGCGAGTCTAGTATGTGACAGACTTCTAGCTATAACGTGAATCTTGCTTGTGGCACACTGCTCGCTATACATGTGCAGTTAACCCTCCTCAGATTTCTGGCAACTGCCTGATGATGCTGGCTGTAACTCCCAGCGAGGCGTCCATACCCAGTTGGTGAATGTGTGTGGATCACTCTCGAACAACAACAACAACCACACCAATGGTGCTCAATGTCAATCAATAAATCAATGCTCCTGCTGCTGCTGAAGCAGTAATACACATTGATTGGCTGCACATTTGTTCAGTGACAACCTCATTAATTAAGTATGGCTTAAGTGAGATATATCTCGTCTATGTACACGGGTGTGCCTGTGTGTATCCGCAACATCTGAAAGGCATTGCTGTGTCAGCGGTTATGGTGAGGGCAGTGTAAAGTATTTCATGGCATGACAAAAAAATAAATATGCTTACAGAATACAATAAAACCCACAGACCGAGACGTCCCACAGGTTGTCGTCGATGAGACTAAGAATAATAGCAACTGAGATGCCGACTACATGAACACGATGTGAGGGTTGAGGTGACGAGATGTTATCTCGCTCGTCTGGTCCACAGGAGCTCGTGGGTTCGATCCCGTCCCTGACGATGCCTATTTTATATTTAGAGTCTGCGTGGTCTCTCTCTCCCCGTGGTCGTGTGGATTTTTCGCTGGATCCCCCAATTTTTCTCTCCACATTTAGAATCAACATCACGTGTTCAGAGTATTTAACTGCTATACATTTCCAAGTGATGATGATACATCACTAAGTTGAGCTATCATTTGTGGCCAGGTCGCTCATGACATTTGTATTCTATGCAACTCAGTGGGCTTTACCTAGTAAAATAAAAATTTGTTTTAGTTTTTTTCATATCGAGGGCATGTGTGTATATATCTTGAGCTTCTTTCCCACTGTAAGTAGCCAACCGTGCTAATCGGAGGTGTGGGAAACGAATCGCGTGATCGTGCAGCAATGAGGTGAGGCTGGGGAGAGAGGTGAGGGAGTTCCTCCTCCTTTCTCCTCACCTTGCTGAGCACCGCCGTTCCGAACACGGCGAGGAAGAGCAGTGTCAGGAGGATAAACCTGAGAACCCGAAGACCCCGAGTTGAGGACTCCTCCTCATCGATGTCTGGGCGAATGTTGAACCTGTCCCAGGATCTACGGTGGAAACAGACGTTCGGTCGAGTCACAGTGAATGTTGTGTTGCGAAATTGCTCTCCTTAATCAGCTGCTGCTGTTGCTGAATCTGCAGTAATGCATTAGATCTTTTGTTCACGTAACAACTTTTTTAATTGGTTGCGTTAGGTGGAGGAAGCTTTGCGACACGACATTTTACACATACGATCTGACCCGAAAATCGATTACGAAGCACGATAAGTGGTCGCAACAGTCTACACTTTGCTAGATTCAGTCGAATAACTTCAGAGCTTTAATCGACGATATTCGTTGCCAATAGGAAGAAGACGTTGACGAAGCAAATGGAGAGGAGGGCAAAAAAACAACCCTCTTATAATTGTGCAAAGGAGACTGGATCGGTGGACGCTGGGCATTGCACGAAGAGGCAAGGAGAGGAAGACCATGCGTGACCATTCTGGTCAGCGTGGACTGGGGAAGATGCCACTTTGTGACCGATGCTCACCCATGCCTGAGAGGAAATTGACATCTCCTGTCGCCGAGTCTGGAGCGATGGCAACCTCTGAGACATTGATCCCAGACGATGGTGACTCAAGCAGCTTGAGCGACGCATTCTGGGGCATTGCTTCGCTTTGCCAGAAACTGGTTGGCTATTAAAGCTAAACATAAGAGGGTCGGTTTTATTACGTAATTGTTTTTAAATATACATTTTAGTTTGTCGCCTACGATCGAATCACCCACCTGTTTGCTGGTGCTGCTGAAGTAACCAGGTTCACAGGGCAGTTGGCTGACCATGATTTGTCTCACGCACGCAGTAACTCCATTATATGTTTTGACGAAAACTTACCAGTGTCTTCAATGCCACCAATTGGGGGTGATACGGAATTCGCCAAAATGTTATTTGCGTGTTTGTCCATTGCCGTTTCATTTGAATCTCGCCCCTCATTCGAGGCTAATCGACGCAGACAATGAACATAATCGAGGGATGCTGCAGTGTTTGCGATTCTCCCGTTGCGGCAGCTGGCCTCTGTCCAACCAGCAGTTCAAGTCGATCGACTGATCGCATGTGGTGGGTTGAAGTGTGGGTACCCCCACCCATTCAATACGTCATTTAGGCCCGTCTCGAAGAGTGGGCCGCATACAACCCTAGCGGGGGCCCATAGGACTCCCCGTGGTGAAGGGAGGCGCTGCCACCAGCAACACCACGGTGGCGAGATGTTATCTCCCTCGCCTAGTATGTAGGAGGTCGTGTATTCGATCCCGACCCTGACGCCTATTGCATATTTGGAGTTTGCATGTCCTCTCTCGCTGTCTCCCCATGGCCATGTATTTTTTTGCGGGTCCTCCGAGTTTTCCCTCCACATTTGGAATAAAAATCACGCGTTTAGAGTATTTGGCTGCTATAAATTCCCACATGATGAGCCATTTGTTTGAGCTATCATTTGTGGCCAGGTCGCATGTGAAAATAGCTTTACAGCACAGTGGGCATTACTTGGGCGAGAACATTCCACAAAGCACCGTGAGAGATGACACCGACTTGAGGCAGTGTTCATCCAGCAGTGGATGAATCAATGCTGATGCTCACGATTATTGATGGCGGTTGTGGTGGTTGTGGGGGTGGTTGTGGTGTAGGGAGTGGTAGTGTGGTAGTTAGCACGCTAGCACGCTAACTACCACTCGTACAGACGATTATCTGTATCAGTCCTAGGCCTCCCCTAGGTCGACTCAACCTCAAATGAGTACATTTTTGTAAAAATCGCCACAAAGGAGATAAAAGCGGCCGAGCGTGGAGCTGGCCACCCACTCCCGAGTGTGCCATTCCAACCTTAATAGGTGCTCGATAACAGCATTTGGGCCAACAGTCTGTTAAAGCTATGAGGTGGATCTGTTTCTTTTGCGGTGGTTATGGTGGTAGTGTTGTTGGTACTGTGTTGTTGATAGTGGTGGTTGTTATGGTGCTGGTTTTGGTTGTGGTGATTGCGGTGGTGGTGAAACGTTAACTTACTTCTCGCATTGGGTTTGGGGCTCCACTTCTTCTGATTGTGCTTTCCTCTGCACGTCCCTGCGTTCGTCCGCACACGGGCAGTCGCATTTCCATTCAACAGCTCCCGCCTCTCCTTTCTCTGGTGGCTTTAAGGACTTCGGTGATGCTTGAGGCTTCGTCATCGCCCGTCTACGCGTTTGGGAGCTCAAATGCCGGTGGTGGTAGAGTCTCCCTCTCGGGTCTCCCTTCAATAATCATTAAACCCCTACCTGTCTGCGATGAGCTGTGGCGTGATTAATGGACATAACTCATCTGTAGAGCTCAACTGAGAGTCGTTGAGACAATCAGCCCAATAGTTTTATCTTTGAGATGCGATTGTGTTGATACGCTACACTCTTACAACGTGTATTATAATTGTCACACGAACTAGCGATAATAATTATTATGAAATTGGCAAGATTCATAGTTCATAGTTCATTTATTTGGTATAGCCCTGTGAGCCATTCGGCTCTTGAATCGGGTGCAACCGCAACAAACAAAAAACATGAACAAGAAAACATCTTAAAGTGATTATGTGACTGTGCAAACAGAAAATACAGGAAAAAAATATCAAAATATTCCTGAAATAGCACCGTACACCAACGCTGTGTGCAAAAATCCCAGTGGGATGCAAGTCAAATAACAACAACAACCACAAGACAACTAAGATTAAGGCCATCAGTCTAACTCCGTACTACAATAAACAAAAACATGGCCAAAACAAAAAAAAACGTTTCGAAATCACCAAAATAAAAGCCATAAATCCAATGTAACAGTGATCATAGGGACTGTGACCGAATTTTTAACAATAAACTACATAAATAAATTATAACACCAAAATCTAGAGCGATATTTTAGGCCACTGAATAGCAGTGGCAGCTAGGGTTGTACAACTCCTCTAGAGCAGTTTTGAGTGAAGATCTCATAGGTAGTGATTCAAGTTGCAGTTTATTGGCAACAGCATTCCAGACCCTGGGGGCATCAATAGCAAAGACCCTTCCTCCAGTTTTTGTACGGCAATAGGGAATGTGAAGCTGGTAAATGAGCGAAGACCTGAGGTCAAATTTGTTCTTTGAAACAGAGAGGAGATCCAGTAGGTAGTCTGCGGAATTTTTTGTAAGTACATCGTGAATAAATAAGATCTGGTGCACAAGCCGTCGAACATTAAGAGATGTTAAGTTTGACCCAATGTAGAGATCAGTGGTGAGTCCTATATGGGCAGTTCAATGCAAATCTTAAGGCCGAGTGATAGATGGAATCAAGCTTCTTCAGTACAGTACTTGGGGCTGATTTATACACGATGTCACAGTAGTCAAGTAGAGGCAGTATGGTAGCTTTTATCAATTCCAAACGGAACATTGGGGGGAAGCAGTGCTTGTGTCGATACAGAAAACCAATTTTTATTTTTGTCTTTTTACCAATATAATCAATGTGATCTTCAAAACTAAGTTTTGAATCCAGGATGACCCCAAGATACTTATAGATCTTGACTTGCTCTATTTGATAATTATTCAAGGAATGTAATTGGGGAAAAATAACTTCCTGCTTTAGTCCCGGAGAGAAGCATAGCACCTTGGTTTTGGAGGTATTCAGGACTAGTTTAAGAGAAACTAGCTGATGCTGTAGTTTGTTGAAATCACCCTGGAGCTTAGCAATCACGTCATCCGGAGAGCGGCCAGCAGTAATCAGTATCGTGTCATCTGCAAAAAGATTTACCCTGGAATGATCCAGTTCAGTGCCCAAGTCATTGACATAAAGAGAGAACAAGAGGGGGCCGAGGATGGAACCCTGTGGAACCCCTTTTGTTATCTTAACACTGTTTAACCTCCAACCATCTGTGAATACAGTTTGGGTGCGAGAAAATAGGTATTTTTTTAACCATTGTGCTGTGTTCTCGGAAAAACCGAGGCAACTTAGTTTACTAAGCAGGGTGTTGTGGTCAACTGTATCAAAAGCTTTGGACAGGTCAAGAAAAAGACAGGCACAGTACTGCTTATTATCAAGGCAATTGTAAATTTGATTCAAAGAGTCTAATGCAGCAGATGTGGTGCTGTATTTTTTCCGGAACCCAGATTGTTTTAGATGTAGTAGATTGTTGGTGGACAGGAAACTGCTAATTTGGTAGTTCAATAATTTTTCAAAAATTTTCATCAATGGGGACAAAATTGAGATAGGTCGGTAGTTATTGGGATCATCTTTAGGGCCCCCTTTGTGAAGTGGACGGACATAGGAATGTTTCCATTCTAGAGGAACTGATGCTTCTTTGATGGACAGGTTGAAAATATGGGCTATAGGTTTGTATATTAGGTGACCAACAGTTAGTAGAGCAAAGACGGGAAAACTATCTGCTCCGGTAGAGGAGGACCCTTTGAGGTAGGACAGTTGTTTCAGAACATTACTTTCATGGATTGGTTGGAAACTAAATTCGTTTAATGTTTGGACAGGGGTGTAGGAATTTGCAGGAGCAGGGGTGACTCCCAATACATTATCAAAAAGATTACCAGCTTCAGAAAAATGAAGGTTAAAATTGTCAACTATTTTTTTGGGATCTGAAAAATATTCCCCATTTCGGTGAAGCTCAACGGGCAGATTTTCTGTTTTGGATGCCTTTTCGATAGATTTGATTGTTTTCCAAAAAATCCTGGCATTTCCATGTGATTCCAGGAGAGTGGAGGAAAAATAGGCATTTTTTGCATGCCGTACTTTTTTACGCATCTATTCCTTAAAATCCTGTATTCTAGCCAGTCATTTACCAAATTACTTTTCTGAGCACATGTCCAAGCCTTGTCCCTAGTTTTCATGAGCTTTGTAATCAAAGGATCATACCATGGTGGGCGGTTGCCTTTAGTTTTAAATCTAACCAACGGAGCATGTTTGTTAAGAATTTGGAGAAACGTGTACCTGAAAGTCTCCCAAGCCGTAGTCAGCTTGGGGATATCACAGACCTTATCAATATCCGAGTGAAGCACATCATTTGTAAATGCCTGAGTGCTGAAGTGCCTCAAAGAGTGCTTCTCAACAAATTTAGGGGGGGCTTTTGGTCTGGCTGATGATCTCACACCAAAAATGAAGGAGTGATCACTAAGGTTATTACCCAGAACACCAGTCAGTGCGAAATTGTGAGGGGCATTTGTCAATAGGACGTCAAGCAGAGTTGACTCTCCCGGATTTTTTAGGTTGGGTCTTGTGGGGACATTTATTAATTGAAAAAAGTTAAATTCATCTGTAAAATTTGTGGCCACGGCCGGCGGGTTTAGCCAATTCCAATTTAGATCACCCACTAAAATTATTTCACTTTTAGGGAGGCCCCCAAAAAGCTCTCTCAGTGCCGATGCAGCTTCAACATCCTTCCCACAAGGCGGTCTATAGCAGCACACTACCAATATCTGTTGATTATTTGTGAGAGTTATTCTGAGAGCCAGACCATCAAAGCAAAATGTTTTAAACAAGGAGTGAGCTGGTGGACATGCAATAGTGTTACGAACATAGATGGCAATTCCACCTCCTTTAGATCCTCGGTCAAGCCGAAAAAGGTTGTAGTTTTCAATCGTAATCTGCAAGTCATTGACGGCAGGAGTGAGAAATGTTTCTGTTAGGCAAAAAATGTCCGGGTCAAGATTTGCCACTTCTAGTTTTAGTTGACTTAATTTAATCACAAGCCCTCTGATGTTGACATGTAGAACACCAACACCTTTCCTGCCAGAAAAATCTACAGAATTATACGAGCTCTTTTCATTTGGGCCAGGATGAAGCTCAATACCACCCAGGAATAAGAAAAGTAGAATTAACAGTTTGCATAAGTATTTTCTGTGAAAGGATGAAGAGCGGCGAACCTTGGACGATTAGCAGCAGCTCGCAGATGGTGTTATTTTTAAGAGCAGAATGAAGTTTGGAAGGAGTGCTGGTGAAGTAATGGGACAAAGATAGGGTTTAAAAGGATACAATGATGGAGTGTAGAAGTGTCTATGAGCTGTTTCATTTGCAGGTGTAGTGGCAAATCGAGCAACAAGTATTGACGCAAAATAACGAGGGTAGCCGTTTGTAGAGTTGAGTGTGGCATTAGGTATGGCCGGGAGGGACAGCAGTAGGATACACAGCAGGAGAATTGCCATCTCTAAAATATCCGGGGTATACACAGATTTACACACAAGTGGAAATAGAAAAATATATATACTTGTAGGCCGAGGGTGAGAAAAACGTCTTGCCGCACTCGTCACACATGCACGGCTTCTCGCCCATGTGCTCCAGTGGTGAGGAAAGAAAGCATCTGACACTGAATGCAGATATTTCAACTGTCTACATACTTCTACAGAGGCATCAGCACTGAGCCCTCTAGGGAGCGGGGTACTAGTCTTTAGATAGCGTGGTAGCACCACTGATTATATATATCGAAAGGGAGCGATGACCCCGGGTTCAGTTTGACACCCTAATTTGCAAGTGGTCAATGACATAGCTGAGGGAGGCAGAGACTTGCTGAGCCACGGGGCATACATTTACAATGAGGAAGCTGATATTCTCTGCGGCTTAACGTTCACAGTCGCGATTTCGTGAGTTAATGTTCAAAGCAGCGTAATTCCGTCATCATCATTTTTTGCCATGAACAACATCAATCACGTCATCATCATCATTAACATTGAGTCATCAAACATCAACAACAGCGCCATCGCCATCATTAATTGCATTACCACCATTGCCACCATCATCATAATCATGATGAACATTAGCATCATTCATCAACATCACCCACCAGCATCGTTACCAATAGATGATGGAATCCCGACGCCACGTTGGTTGTGGGAGCTGTTTCGACCATACTTGACCACCATGCTGGGTCAGTGCTCGCGACGAGTAGGGTGGAGGGGTGGGGATGGGTGGCGCAGTGGTTGGCGCATTTCGCTACGAACCCGAATACCCGAGTTCGATTCCCCGCTCACGGCCAACATCGGCGACGCCTATCTGAACCGGTCCTGGGCCTCCCCTAGGTCGACTTAGCCTCACATGAGTATCTGGTGCGGTGCGTAAAAACATCGCCACTAGGGAGACAAAGGAGGCTGGGTGTGGTGCTGCTCACCCACCCTCTCGTGTGCTGTTCTGGCCTTCATAGGTGCTCGCTAACATCCCCTGCCCCAACAGTTTGTTCAGGCTATACGGGGTATCTGTTTGAATGGGTGGGGAGCGGCGGTACAGCGGTTAGCCCGTTGGGCTACGAACCCGGCCACCCGAGTTCAATTCCTGCTCACGGCCAGCACCAGTGACGATCACCAGAACCGGTTCTGGGCCTCAAATGAGTACCTGGTGTCGTGTGTAGCAAACATCGCCACGAAAGAGACAAATGCGGCCGGGCATTGTGATAGCTACCCACCTCCTCGTGTGCCGTGCAAGACTTCTCAGGTGCTATTCTCTAACAGCAATTACCCCAACAGGTCTATTTAGGCTACACGGGGGACCTCTATCTTTAGAGGG